ATTCATCACTTGCATAAAAATGTTTATCATTCATAATATGAAATAAATTTTGGAAAAATAAATATTTTGATATAAAAATTAAATTCCAAAAATCTCATACTTCAGTCGACCGAAGTATACACCGGTCGAGCGAAATAAAAGTGACCTAAAATCATAGTTATAAAACTCGGCCAGGCCCGGCTCGGACCTTTAACAGTTAACCGGCAATTTACCCAACTCGATTGACCGATTTGATTGGGTTTTGAAATCCTCTTACAAAATTTTTGGGTCCAAGTGAATTGAACATTGAATCTCTAAGAAAAATAATGGGTTTCTCACCACTTGAACATAAAGTATTTTAGTATTACTTGTGTTCAATAACTTATATCTATCTAATGAATCATTTACATCTTTTATAAAAAAAAAAATTTTAATTTGGTCCAACATTTTACTTTATTTTAGACCTAAATAATTAGTGAAAAATAAATTAAAAATGTTAATTTTGCCCCTAAAAAAATTTATACTTTATATTTTTTTTTTTGTAAGTTTTTTATGTAATGACCCGCCAGTTGAACTACTAACTCATTAACCAGCTGTATTGTCCGGGTTTGTGTTCGGGTCGACTCTGACAACTATGCCTAAAATTTGATTCAAATACAAAAGGAAAATAAGCATATTTTCATGGACGAAAGGAATATAAATTACTCATATTTAAACAAATATTTATTGTAGTTATATATTAGGAAAACTATACAACTCTATTAATTATATTTTCTTAATTGATGTGAAAATGGAAGCAATGATATCTTTGTGGGATGGACTTATATGTGATACATAAGTTTTAATTTTTTTATTTGTTAAAAATTGGAAAAAGTTATTTAATCGGCATTAAATAAATAAAGTAGAGTAGAAAAAAATTAGAAATTATCCAGACGTAGTTTGAAAGTATGTATTTCGACCCTAACAACGCCTAGAGTGGGGTGAATAGGTGATTATGCGGAATTAAAAATTATTTAATAATTAACTAGCAACATGTCACTTATTAATTATTTTTCTAGATGATTAAACATGCAATTCAATTAATCTTATGTTGAAATACAGCAATTATGTAGGTAATAAATGAATACAAGAATTGATCGCGGAGAAATACAATTGGGTGAAAACTTCGGGCACTTTACCAGTCAACAATCCACTATAAACAATTTTTAACTTACAGTCTACCAAACTAGACGACGACACGTACTATCTGATCTCCTGACTACAATTTTAATAGCTATCTTGGATTATGTGCTCCTGCAGCAACTCTCAGCTGCAGTTTCCAAATCTCTCTTGGATTGCGCTATCCTGCAGCAACTCTCAACTTTGTGAAATTGCCTATCTTTCGTGGATTCACGAAGAACACCGCGTTCTTCAACGACTGGAACTACAGTCATCTTCCCTTGATCTTCAGAAACTCTGACAGATATGAAGGAAGCAGCAGTTTGATATTTGGATTGTGAAACTGATGTTTTTCACGGCCAATAACACATCAATTTGAACAATGGAGGTTGAATACTTTAGAGGATGAAAAGAACATGAAATTTCTCAATAATCAACCTTAGAAAACCGTTCAGAGGCGTTCAAGTATTTATATGTAGGTTAGGGAATGAATGAGCCGAATAAAAAGTTTAAAAAACGAAATAAAAATTTCCTTAATAACATTGTCGTTCGACAGAAGGTGAGGTGACAGTTGAGCGATGCAGTTTCTGTTTCTGACGCTTGAGCCAAACCTTGGCGAAAAGTTAGCGAAATTCCGTGCCCTTTTTCCTTTTTTTTCATTCTCGAACCCTAAACCTAAAATATCATAACTTTCACTAATTGTACACTACTCCTTGACTTTTTTACACCATATCAATTTTAGTC